GTGGTGTGGTGGAATTCAGCTGACCATCAGTGTGAAACCACCGCAATGCTCAGACCTATTGCTGACACCAGCTTTGAAAGAAGAGGCAGGATTTCAGGCAGTGCATTGGAGAGATGCTGTTTTATTAAGCAGATGCTAAAGGAGAGTTGATGCTGACATGCAGGGAGGGAAAAACTGTGCAGAGTAAACAGCGCAGTTTAATACTTCAGGAGATGCTGGATGAATAATAAGCCTTTTTTTTCTAAGTAATAAATGGAAATGAAACTAAGGATAAAGATAAAAATACCAATATTCTTAATGAAACAAGTACCAGGCCTTCAAATTATATCCAGGAAGTCATTTGTGGAGAAAGAGGGGAAGTTTATCACCATTCAGAAATATCCATGATATTCCTTTCCTAATAGCACCCTTGAGCTCCTTGTTTCTCATGCTGTAAATGAGGGGATTGAATGTTGGGGGCACCACCGAGTACAGAACTGCCACCAAAAGATCCAGGGTTGGGGAGGAGATAGAAGGGGGCTTCAGATAGGCAAAAAAGCCAGAGATGACAAAGAGGGAGACCACAAACAGGTGAGGGAGGCACGTGGAGAAGGCTTTGAGCTGACCCTGCCTAGAGGGCATCCTCAGCACAGCCCTGAAGATCCACACATAGGAAAAAAGAATGAAAACAAAACAGCCAAATGCTAAACAGATAGCAACCATAAGTACCCAAATTTCCCTGAGGTAGGAGTGTGAGCAGGAGAGTTTGAGGATCTGGGGGATTTCACAGAAGAATTGGTCCAAGGCATTGCCTTGGCAGAGGGGCAGGGAAAATGTATTGGCCGTGTACAGCAGAGCATAAAGAACCCCACTGCCCCAGGCAGCTGCTGCCATCTGGGCACAAGCTCTGCTGCCCAGGAGGGTCCCATAGTGCAGGGGCTTGCAGATGGCAACGTAGCGGTCATAGGACATGATGGTGAGAACAGAAAGCTCTGTTGAAAACAAGACGACAATGAGAAAGACCTGTATAACACATCCTGCATAGGAGATGGCCCTGGAGTCCCAGAGGGAATTGGCCATGGCTTTGGGGACAGTGGTGGAGATGCAGCCCAGGTCGAGGAGGGCGAGGTTGAGGAGGAAGAAGTACATGGGGGTGTGGAGGCGGTGGTCGCAGGCTACGGCAGTGAGGATGAGGCCGTTACCGAGGAGGGCAGCCAGGTAGATGCCCAGGAAGAGCGCAAAGTGCAGGAGCTGCAGCTCCCGTGTGACTGCAAATGGCAGGAGAAGGAACTTGGTGATGGAGCTGCTGTTGGACATCTGATGCCTCTTGGCCTTGGGGCCTGTCCAAAGAGAAAAGCACATGGAAAACTTTGGGCAGACTTCTTTGAGCAAATCTCTGTCCTTTCAGCAACACCCTTCCCTTCTCACCCACCTCCGCAAATATGCGCTTTCTCAACAGCATCTTCATTCTCCTTTCTGGATGAAGCTCCGGTTTGTGCTGGCTGAGCACTGTTTGGAGCCATGACCTCTGCACGTGAGCTCCATCGGATTCAGCACTGCTGGGAAAGGTGGTGACCCATTCTTAAATTCATAGTTTCATTCAGATGCAGTGTACCTATAATTCAGAGGGGCTGTTCAACATCCTACAGCAGGATAACTCCAGGAAAACCTCTGCTGGACGTTCATAAACCACAGTGACCTGAACAGAGACAGATTATTTCCCAGCACTAGGCTGGGACCAGAGCCATTTTGGCTAGAATAGCTTGGGCACTCTGCTCCCAGGGATGCACATCCAGAGCACGACTCAGTATTCTGGTGTTTGAGCTCTATCTTTAAACCCACTCCCCAGGGAATCTGAGGGGAACAGCAAGGGCAGGATGGATGGGAGGGGAAACAGAAAAATGGCCCAGGGTTCCTAGTGAGGGAGGCAGGAAATGGAGTGAGACATCGGTACTTGGGAGGGTGTTCTTTGTTCTGAGGGTCCTGCTGCCACGGGGACAACAAAGCATGAGATCCCATAGCTGTGGGGGCAGAGGCTTTGCTGGATGGCAGTCAAGGCAATGGAAAGCATCAGCAGTACTGGGATGGAACGGATGTGGCCAAATTCCCTTCTGCCATGTAGTTTCTGGGAACAGCTCCCTGTCATTCCCTGCCCATGGCTCTGCTGCCTGCAGCTGTCCCTGCCTGCAGCTGGGTCTCTGTCCCCACGCCTCCTGCCTGCAGCTCACAGCCCCCATCCCACCTGCTGGGTGCTCAGCTCTGCCCTGCAGACACCTCCTGGCAGCAGGGCTCTGCCCAGGGGCAGCTCGCTGGGGACATGTCCTAGAGCCCAGGGCACACAGACCCTGCTGACACTGCACATGTGGTGGTGGAGCTTTCTATGGGCTGAGGGGCAGGAAAAGATCCTTGTAACCTCTCAGCCATCATGGAGTCTCAGGCACTTCCTGGAATTAACAGCAAATATTTCTATTACAACTGAGGCAAGTAGAGAAGATTGGAAGTTCAGGAGGCTCAGAAAAGCTGTGACTGAAGCTGAAATCCCCTACTTTATCCCGGCTCTCGCAAAGACCCTTTAGATACACGCTGGTTGTGCTGTGGAGCTGTGAGCAGGCTGCCCCAGGCAGCAGCCTCCCAGCAGCAGCAGGACCCTGCCCTGCCGGGGGGGCTCCTTCCACCCGCAGCTTCTCCCCGCAGCGCCCTGGGCAGCTCCCCGGGCAGGCTGAGTGCTGAGCCTGGCAGGCGGCAGAGGCCCTGCCCCACACACAGCCCCTGGGGCACAGCAGGGACCCTGCTCTGCACCACAGCCCTGGACACCCCTGCCTGCACCCCCGGCTTCTCCTGCCTCCACGAACTGCGGCTGCATTGCCCTCCAGCCAGAGACTTACCGGGTGCAGGGCTGGGAAGTCTTCTCCCCCGTGAGCTCTGGGCATGCTGCCACTTCTGCCTGCCTTTAAGCACTGTGTCTCTGCAGGCAGTGCCCCCAGGCCTGCTGCGCTGTGCAGAGGAGCTGCTCCTGGGCAGAGCTGTCTCTCTGCAGCGCTGCCCGCTTGCCAGGAGCTCCCCTTGGGCCCAGGAGCCCGGCCCAGCTCAGCAGCAGAGGCCCAGCCCAAGGCCTCCCTTGCTCTGCCCCCCACCGGCTCCCTGCACATGGCCCTGGGGCTGCAGGGAACCTGCTGGCAAACAGCCTGAAGGGATCCCTGGGCTTCCCTCCCTCCCCTGGGCACACACACTTCTTGACAGCAGGCTCATTTCTCTTAGCACAAAAACAATTATCTGTAGCAGTCTTCTCTTCTCATCCCAGTTGATGAAGGGACACCCAGGCATGGTCATAAAAGTAACTCCTTTAGCCCCCTGCTTAAGGAAGGGATTCAGCAGAGTCAGTTAAGACATCTCATGCTGTTTTTTTGTCCTGGGGCTGGAATGGGACAAAGATCCCTCCCATGCCTGCCACAAACCCACGGGAGCTGGGATTCCTCTGCACTCAGTTTAGGTGTGAATAACATGGGCAGCTGCAGGTGAGCTCCTTTTCTCAGCTCCAGGATCATTAATGGAGATGGGGGAAATCAAGGGAAATCAGCAGCCCCTTCTCCTGCCTGAAGATCAGCCCCAGCTCCAGCACTGGCCCTCAGGGCTGCACCAACACCACAAAGGCCCTCTGCTGTCAGAGCGGCACAGCCCAGGCCTGTTTCCTTCTGGCCTCAGGAACACCAGGCCTTGCCCTTCTTGGGATCCCTAAGTCATCCTTTTGTGCCCATCCACGGCAGCAAATCTCTGCTCTGAAGGAAAGCCTCTTCATGCCCAGGCTCTTGGCACAAGGTCTGGGACAAGTCTGAGTTTGGCCCTTGTGCCACAGCTGAGGTGCTGCAGCCCAGATGTGCCCCAATGCCCTCAGCCTGGGGCACAGGCAGGAGGAGCTGGATCCCCGCCTGCTGTCACAGGGCTGGGACATTGATGGAAGAGCTGCTGAGGTGTGGGGGGACAGGTCCCCCAGCTTGGGGTGCTGTGCTGGATGGGGGCAGATTCTTCAGAAGAGACAGGCGGGGATGATCAACAGGGGGTTGCCCTCCATGTGAAGGATCTGTCTGGATGCATGGAGCTCCTCTATGGGATGGGCAGCAGAGTGGGGGAGCCCTTGTGGGTGAGGGTCAGAGCAGATCCAGTCAGGGTGGCAGTGTGGTCAGAGGTAAATGCCTGCAGTCAGGCTGAAGAAGCAGACAGTCTTGTGGAAGCCACTGGACTAAGATGACTTCAATGACCCCATGTCACCCTGGGGGCCTTAAATCACTCAGACTGTCACAGAAAAGGGACACTGCAGGGTGCAAACATTCCCGAGGTTTCTATGGGTTCTTGGAGGCATCTTCTGTGCACAGCTGCCAGATGGGCCGACCTAGGTGATGTTCACCAGGATCTGGGACTTGCAAACAGGAAAACCCGTGTCTTGACACTCCTCCTACAAAATGCATGTCATAGTCCAGCTGCTTTGCAGCACAGGGAAAGAGATGAGGTTTTGGGGCCCAGCCCTACACCAGCACTGCACAGGCCCACTCACTCATAGACCCTGGGAGGCCTGCAGCCCTGGAGAGTATTGGCAGACAGACTTTAGCAAACTGCCTAGAAAATGGGGAGGAACACAGCAGTGACTTCTCCAGCGCTCTACTTCCTTTACTCTGTGGCCTTTGTCAGAATTTGGAGATGTTCCTGGTGGATGGCCAGGAACCGCTAGGAATGAACTGGGCAGAAGGGAGGTGACTGTTTCTCAGGACAAGAAGGGAAATCTCTCGTCTCTCTCCTGAGCTGTGCTGTCTCCATGCTGCTGACGTCATAAGGCTTATTATGACACGTGATGATGTCACAGAAGGATGTCCTGCATCACCAGGATATAAGCATTGGTGCAGCGGCAGTGCCGGCACTTCCCTGCAAGCCTGGTCCCTGCTGGGCACTGCTTGGGTGCTCCCCAGCGCTGTCCTTCTGCGGCCAGGAGTGGGGTCAGCAGGCAGCAAGCTTGCACTGGGCGACCCTCGCTGACGGGCGGAGGAGCAGGGGCACCTTGCAGAGGAGCTGTGGTTGAGGAGCCAGGGCGGGCATCCCTTGTCCTGAGCTGAGGGCCAGCAGCAAGCGAGATGGAGGGCTGCTGGAGGGTGACCATCGCCTCTGATATGGTTTCCCAGTTCCCAGTGCTCCTGAATCTCTCCCCCAAAGGTAAGGGTGTCAGGAGCCCCTTCGCAAGGGGTGGCCCAGGGAGCCTGCAGTCTCTTTCCTGCAGCTCCCACAGGCCTCTCAGGAATGTCCCAGGAATGCCCGCATGGTGTTTTTCTGGGGGGCTCGCGTATGCCTGCATGTGTCCTCGCCTGGGTGAGGTGCTTGCCAAGAGGTGGTGAGCTGGCTGGCCTGGAGCCTGACCTGTCTTTTCCTTGCTTTCCAGAGACTGAGGCTATCTGGGATGCTGTATCCGAGCAAATTCTGGAAGCGCTGAAGCAGGATAAGGTGGGCTGGTGTCCTGGGCCCTGCAGAGCAATCCCTACCCGAGCAGCACGGCAGTGCACTGAGACTGCCCAGGGTGCCCGGAGCAGCTTACTGGCCAGCTGGGAGAGAAACCAAGGCCAGATCTGCTCTGCTTCTCAGGGGTTTGGCACACCCTAGGGCTTCACTCTTCCCTGCGGCCTGGGTGGAGAGGGCGAGCAGAGAGATGGGGGAATATCCTGGGTCCGTGCCTAGGATAATCAGTCCCAGGCCTAAGCTGTGTGCTGGAAACCTCTGGGCTCTTCCCTAGCCAAGGATGGTGGCAAATCCTGGGAGGGGGGTGATGGAAGAAACGGAGGATGCGGCTCTTCTCCAAAGCTTTCCAAAGTGCCCCACCTTGCCCCATTGTCCCTCAGGAGCAGGCAGGGCACAGAGCAGTGTCCCCCTGCTCGGAGAGTCATCCCTTTTCCCGTCTCTCAAGAACTCCCTCCTCAGCCTTTCTGTCTTCTCTGTGTGCAGGCTATTCAGGTTGCGGGACTCGGGACCTTTGCTGTTCTCCAAGAGCAATTCCACGTCAAGCAAAAGCGGCTCCTGATTCGCAAACCGTTCTTCCAGCTGGACATTGATGAGGGGTGGCTGGAGTACATGTACTGTCCCCCTGAGATCCTCCCTGGTGAGAAGGCAGCAGCCCCCTCGTCCTGCCCCATGTCCGGAAGGATTTGTTCTCCCTGCTCTTTGGAAAGGCCTGGGAGAGGCAGAGGATTGTCTCCAACGGTCAGGGTGGAGCTTGAGTTCCCCCAGAAGACCCCGTGGCCCCGGAGCTGTTTCTCTTAGCGACCCTTCCTCTAGGCCCTTGTTCGGAATGCTGCAAGCAACTTGGGCTTGCTGTGGCACTGAGGATGTTGCTTCTCCTTGCAGATGACGTCGAGGTCGAGCAGCTGAACTACCTGCAGCTAGCGCAAGCCACCTCCTTCCCACTGTACGTGGTGCAGGAGTGTGTGCAAGAGACCATCATCTTGTACTGTTGCCTCCTGAAGAACAAGGAGCACGTCCCCTTTGCATTCAGGGACATCGGTGTTTTGACGTGCGAGGATGATTTCCTGTGCATGAAGTTTTATCCGGACTGTGTTAAACGTCTGGAGAGCTCTGAGGACCTCATTGCAATGCTCCACAGTGTAAGCTGGTGATGTTTTGAGGGCTACTTCAATTTCTTTGGGAATCCTGTGGAAGGGTGATTAATGCGACCGCTGTTGGCCAGCCTGGACACGGCAGGCCAGTCAGATGCCTTTCCCCACGCCTGCCCCATTAGCTGCTTTCTCCATTAGCTCTTCTGAGCGTCTGGATGCTGGCCGCTGCAAAAGGCCTGGCAGCGTTACTGTACAGCCTCAATATTCTGCCATGCTCCTCCAGAGCAGAGCAAAGGTGGATGGAAGAGGCTTTGGAGGAGGGTTTTGGAGAGAAGGCTTTCTTTTGGCTTGGGAGACAGGTTTGCTTCCTGTCAATGAGAGCCCTGAGAAAAGTGCCTCAGAAACCCTCCAGCAGGTCTGTGTCTCTTTGCAGAGAATGTGGCCGGCACACCCGACTGCCTTGAGTGGAGAGACCACCGCTCGTGCGATCCAGATGTTCCCAAGGTGAGTGCATTTCCTCCGCAGCCCTTGGCTTCCCACCTCCTCCTTTGGAACGTGCGCGGTCGGGTCTCCACGCTCAGCATCCAGTCGGGGCTAAATCCTGAAGAGACTGGGTCCTGGTTAACTCATGCTGACTTTCGGCTACGAGTGTCTTCACCTGGCGAGGAGGGGCATTGCGGTTGTGCTTCTTGTGCCCGTGCTGCCGCGATTCCCCTCAGAGAGAATTGCCTGCATGTGGAGGGGAATTTAGGCTACCTTTTCTGGTGTTGCGGGAAGCTTCACAACAAACCCCATGCGTGAACGTGACGGAAGAGGGATGCCATGTCCCGTGCAACACCAGGAGGATTACTGCCAGCAAGCAGCAACGGGTAGGAGGCCAGCCTTCTTCAAGCCCGTGTCATTTGTTTGCCAGGTTTCATCTGACTGTGAGGACAAGGCCAGAGGCCAAAGTGCGGTTCACCTCGCAGCAGCAAGCTGCAGGAGAGTGCAGGATGAGAGGAGGTAAGGGTCCGTGCTGTCTGGGGGTGGTCCCTGCCCCATGCTGGCTGACTGCAACCAGCTTAAAAGGCAGTGCCCATGCGGCTGCTCTGAAGAGCTTCCTCCTTTCCTAGTTTCATTGTGCCATCCTGGCAAGCTGCTGGAGAGGCGGAAGCTTTCCCTCCCCACGGTGAGAAGCTGGGAGCCAGGCACGAGGCAGCAAGATCTGGAGAAGAAGCCTTCCACCAGGTGAGACCCTTGGGGGAAAGGAGGAAGGAGCCACTTGCAGCCACACAGGAGAGATGTCCCCTTTGGACCCACCAGGCGCAGGGACTCAGAAAGGCTCCTGACACCCGTCCCGGAGGAGGCCGCTCTCTCCACGCATGGCAAGCGTGCAGCACGTTTGCCTGAGACTGGCACGCCAGCTTCATTTTCCACCAGGGCCCTGATCCTTGGGGGAGCTGGATGCAGAGCCGTGTTGCAGAAGCTCTTGTCCCTTCAGGAGCCCCCCCACATTGCAAGAGTCCATCTTTTTGTCTGTGGGAGCAAACGTCCCCTGCGGTTTCTTCCAGCTGCCCCGCAGCTTCTTCCAGCCTAAGGAGCTGTGATACCAGATGGAAACGTTTCTTTCCAAACGATATCCCAGACTTCATGGGAGGCACAAGAGAGTGCCGAGGGAGGGAGGTGGCATGCCTGCCCTCCTTGCCTGATGGCGTTCTCCGATGTTGCTGGCTCCCCAGCGATAATCTGCTTTCCACCCATAAGCCCGGCTGGGCCGTATTGGTGTCTCTAGGATCCTGTCCTTGCACAAGACACTGCTCCTCTCCTTCTGCCACCACAAGGGCCTGGATACGGGCATCGCGAGCCTTCCTGAAGGCAGCTGGTGCCACTGCTTCGCGGTTGGCTCTCTCCGTGTCTGCTGAAGCGAACACGGCCAGTCCAACACCCATTCGCTGCGGAACTGCCGTCTGCTGCAGAGGCTGACGCAGCTTGCGAGCGCGGACTGGAGACCGAATTCCCCTGGGCTCATGCAGCCTCCCGGTGTCTGTTTGCAGTGTGCTCCCCCCGTGTCCAGGCAGCTCCCCCAGGACAAAGAAGACAGACAGGCAGGAAGCAGCTCCTCAAGCCAAGTCCACCAGCACTGCGCTCCCTACTCCCGAAGCCTCTCAGAGATCGGTGCAGGTACCTGCTCTGCCTTGCTGCAATGACCACGCGGTTTGGGACTGTACTAAAGCCTCTTTGTGTGGAGCGATCCCAAGCCGGACCCTTGGGATGCGTTCATTTTCACACTTGTTACCTCCTTCTTCTCTTCCTCGGGAGATGGAAGGTGGTGTCCCGCACACCTTCCCTGCCTCTTGCTGCCTCCCGTGTTGCCATGAGCCGCTTCATTTGGACCAGGGGCAATGGAAAAGGAATGAGGGCTTTCTGGGTCTTTGATGGCAGAGGTCTTTGGTCCAACAGCTGAGACCAATCCTGTCTGCCGTTGTGTTTTTTGTTTGTTTTCCTCCAGGAGGTCTGGAACCTGTCCTCGCAGTGGGACCAAACAAAGAGCTCGTGGCCCTTGTACCAAAAGCGAATAAGCAAGCCCGGGCAGAAATGGCTGCTTGGGAAGCCTGGTCTCAGGGGGAGGACCAGAGACACCTCAGGTACTGGCCGTGACCAACACCGCTGAGAAGAGCAGCGATCCTCCCCGCCAGGGCTCCGAGGGGGGCAGGTCCCAGGGTGGTGGGAGCAGGACGGGCACCAGGGCGCAGGGCAGGGCTTTGCCTGCTCCTCCCTGTGAGGGAGAGGCTGTCAGCAGAAAGCGAGGGATCAAAGCAGCAGCCAGACGTGGGCCGGCAGTGCCGAGTCGCCTGCTTCCCAGGTCCTGCTGCAGGGTCCTTTCAAGGGGTCCTCTGGGAAACAGCACCCGTGTGTCCAGTCCTGTCTGATGAGAGCGTCTTCTCCTTGCATCAGGTCACCAGGCAACATGATTGGATTCCCCATCCCCCAGCCCAGCCCAGGAGCAAGGAGGTCGTGAGGAGGTGGAGGAAGGTTCAGATCCCTGCCCCAAGAGGAGTGGAGAGCGGCAGCCAAGCTGGAGAGCCTCCAGCCTGAGTAAGTGTGTGCCGGCTGCGTTCACGTGCTGGGGCACTCGAGTAGCTGCTGAGCGATGTCAGGAGATGTCCAGCAGCCCGGTCCCTGAGTCCTGGGCTTGCCTATGACACCCTTGGCTTTCTCCTAAAGCGGGCATGACCTTGGTTACCGCCAAGGCCTAAAACTCATCACAGGGCGAAGGGTGGGTGCACGTGGCACCGCGTGGGTGCAGGGTCTGGATGAGGGGAGAGGCAGAAGGGGTGTCTGGCAGAGGCTGAGGGATCCCTTTGTCCTGGTGTTGCAGCCACCTTTCCCCACGAGCACTGCAAGTTTTGAAAAGGTCGGAGCCGCATCGCAGTCAACAAAGGGTGTTCAGAAGTGCTGCGGAGGAAAAGCGGCTGCAGCAAGAGCAGCAGCGGCTCCCCTGGTAAGTATCTCCAGAAAGGGATGGTGCTTCCCGCTGCTGCAAGGCCCGTCCTTCCCGTGGGGGCAGCACTGGGACAGAGAGGGCATTCCGGGGCCCTCCGCTCCCCCTGCCTCAGCCCCAGGCTGATGAGCTTGGGCACTAGGCATCTGTCGCAGCTGACGGCAACCTTGAAGCTTCATGGGAAGCAGACCCTACGTGCACGGCCCGAGCTAAGCCTGCAGTACTTCTCTGCGTTCAGCCTGTACACAACCTGATCATCCTCTTTTCTTTCTGACTCCCTAGCGCTAGATGCTGGTACCGCAACGGAGGGGAAGGTGCTGGGAATGCTGAAGGCAGCAGCGGAGCTCTGAGCAAAGGGGCTGGGAAGCTCTCCCGCTTTCCACCCCTGAATGGAAAATAAAGAGCACAGCCAGACTGCTTGTGTCGCTTCATCCGCCGTAGCAAAGCACTGCCCTGATTCACACCACCATCTCCATTAGGCACACGGGCACATCCCAAGGATGCCCAGGCTTCTCCGTGCAGCACACAGGCATCTCCCTGGAGCACCCAGCAATCTCCCCAGACCACCAGTCTTGCTAGCAGGACCTCGGCACAAGTCCTCTGATCAAGCCGTCTTTTCCAAGGAGCGTTCTGGCAACTCCCTGGAGAAGCCAAACATGTTCCTGGGGAAAGTAAAAGTCTCCCCTGGGAATACAAGCATCTTCCTGAAGCACCCTCCATGGCACCCAAGTATCTCCCCAGGGAATATAGGCACCTCTTGAAATCAGAAATACTTCCTGCAGGACACGTGAGCATTGAGCTGGAGTAGACAAGCATCTCCCCAGGACACCTAAGCACTACCTTTTCCCTCTCAGGCATCTTCCAAGGGCATTCCAGCACCTCACGGGAGATCCCAACTCTAGGTGGGTTCACCTGAACAATTTCCGCTGTGAACCCATCTCCTGCTGATGCTCTAAGACATCGCCCAAAGGCATACAAGCATTTCTTGGAGGAACCCAGGAACCTCTATAGAGAACCCAAGCACCTCCTTGGAAGAATGAAACACCTCCCTGGGGAACAGTAGAATAACCCCATGGGTGCCCAAGCACCTGCATAGGTCACCCCAGAAGATCTTTCAAGAACCAAGGAATTCCCTCCATTGATGAAGCACCTCTATGAAGAAATCCTATCCTGCCCCGGGTCAGAGAAACCTCCCTGGGTAAATCACGCAACGTCCTGGAGGAGCAAAGGATCTTCTTGGGTGTACAAGCATTTTCCCGTGGTAGGCAAGCACCTCCCTGGGGACAACCAGCACCTGCCTCTGGGTCACTCATCCCCTTCCCTGTGGAACACGAGCATCTTGTCGGGACAACCAAGAACCTCCCTAAAGCACTGAACAACACACTTAGTGCAGTCCAGCAACTCCCTGGAGCACACAACCTGCTCTCTGCTGGACCCAGGCAACTCCGGAGGTTCCAAGTGACCCCAGAGGAATCAAGCACCTTCCTAGAGAGCCCAAGGATATTCCCAGGGCACACAAGCACCTCCCTGGGGCACATAAGCATATCCCAGGGGCAGAAGAAAAGCCTCCCTGGAGCACACAAACCTCTGCCCTCCTAACAAAAGTTTCTGCCCCTGCCATACAACTCCTGCAGCACAGAAGCACCTCCCTGGAACACCCAAGCACCTCACTGGAGCACCCAAGAATCTCCCCACCGCACTCCTACATCTGAGTGGAGAACCCGAGCATCTCCTCGGGTCATCAAAACACCACCTGGGGCACACAAACTTGCTGTCACCCTTGGATTTTTCAGAAGTGATAAACTTTTCCTCTCTCTCCAGAAATGACTCTCAGTCTTTCCCATGACAGACCTCATTTCTGGAGCTTGAAGAGCTCAGTTCCCCCAGAAGACCCCGTGGCCCGGAGCTGTTTCTCTTAGCGACCCTTCCTCTAGGACCTTGTTCGGAATGCTGCAAGCAACTGGGCTTGCTGTGGCACTGAGGATGTTGCTTCTCCTTGCAGATGACGTCAGGTCGAGCCGCTGAACTAGCTGCAGCTAGCGCGAGCCACCTCCTTCCTGTTATATGTTGCCCCTTAATTAATTTTCAGAGAGGCATTGCATTAATAATAGAAAGGAATTTTACTGAGTAAGCAACAGCAAGCAAAACAGCGCTGGGCGGCCGGGGAGTCTCGGCTCCGCCAACGGCGCGCACCTCACCCCCGCCAGGTCCCTTTTTATATCTTGGTAATTCCAGGATTACGCAGCACGTCCTGGTATATTCTGCGACTGCGCGCACTGTTGCTAGGGGTCATCTCTGTCCCTCTGGTGGTCGTGAAGATGAAGGCCGTAGTCTTCCTCGGCGTTGTGGTTCAACTTCTTTTTTTATTTGGTCATGTTGGCCTAGCGGTGAGACAGGAAGGCAGGATGTGATACGCCTAGGTTAGCAACTTTCAGGAGATGGTTACATGAGCTTTGCAGCAGGGTCTTTAAACAAAAAGAGGCAACTGAGATGCAGAAGGAGAGAAGGGGAGGGGGTTCTCTTTTTTGTTACATTAGGCAAAAGATTTTCATAGTGTCTAGCCAAGCATTATCCAGCTCCTTACTCAGCAGGGAGCTTTCGCAAACTCCCGCTCCTCTCAAACAGAACTCCTTGTTTTTATAATATAAATGACAATGAACAAACATTTATTGTGTATTACACTTCCACAGCTCAAAACTGGGACCCCCAGCCCCTTCCCATTATGAACTGGGACCCTTAACCCCTTCCCAGTATGAACTTGGGCCCACCCCAGTACAAAACTGGGCCCCCCATACCCTTCCCAGTATGAACTGGGCCCATTCCACTGCAAACTGGGAACTTTCCAGCTACAAACCAGGGCTCCCAGCTGCAACCCCTGCTCAAACTGGGATTGTCCCCAGCTCAGACTGGGACACCCAGCCCTTTCCCAGTATGAATTGAGCCCATCCCAGTTCGAACTGGGCCCCCCAGCCCCATCCCGGTACAACCTGGGCCCATTCCCTGTACAAACTGGGCGCCTTTCCCTTCGCCCCGCCCCCCGTTGCTAGGTAACCGCCACTGCCGTTCCCGCCTCTTTTCCCCCCGTTGCCAGGCAACCGCCGCCATTTTGGCATTTCCCCCGTTGCCAGGCAAGCGCCGCCATTTTGTCCCCTCCGCCGTTGCCAGGCAACCGACGCCATTTCGTCCCCTCCTCCCGTTGCCAGGCAACCGCCGCCATTTTGTCCCCTCCCCCCGTTGCCAGGCAACCGCCGCCATTTTGTCCCCTCCTCCCGTTGCCAGGCAACCGCCGCCATTTTGTCCCCTCCCGCCGTTGCCAGGCAACCGACGCCATTTCGTCCTGCCCCCGCCGGGCTGCCCGCACTGCCCATGCGCGCTCGCCGGCCTCCCATTGGCTCCCGCCCGCGGCTTCAAACGGTCCGGCGGGGAGCGATGGCGGCGGAAGGCTGCGGCCGGTGCGGGGGGGGGGGGGGAATTGAGTGGGGTCTGAGGGGATTTTTTGGATTTTGGGGAAAATGGGGGTCTGGGGGGGCTCAGGGGGGTTTGAGAAGGCGTGCGAGGCTCTGGGGGGCGTCTGGCGGTGAGGGGATGCGGGATTGTGAGGGGAAAAAGGGCTGAGGGGGCGTTCGGTGAGGGGAGCGTGGCTGTGAGGGGACGTTTGTGAGGGAAAAGGGCCGTGAGGGGAAAAAGGGGCCGTGAGGGAAAAAAGGGCTGTGAGGGATAAACGGGCTGTGAGGGGCATTTGTGAGGAGATGAGGGGTAAAGGACACTTCGTGAGGGGACAGGGACTGTGAGGGATATTTTGTGAGGGGATGAGGGGCTGTGAGGGGCATTTTGTGAGGGGATGAGGGGCTAAGGGACACTTCATGAGGGGACAGGGACTGTGAGGGGGTATTTTGTGAGGGAACAAGGAGCTGAGAGCGGAACAGGGGCTGTGACATGGCTGACAAGAGAGGCTTCAGGTACAAAGGCCCTGGACCACCCTCCTGGTCTGTCCGTGCCAGCAGGGCACAGCCCAGCTGCCTCCCTCCTGCACCAGCCTGTCTTTGATCTCTGCCACGCGATCCAAAGCCAGCAGTGGCCTGTCCTCCCTCTGCACGGTCGCATATCCCAGCTCGACACGGATGTTTCTCTCTACTGGGAAGCTTCCAGCCCAGCTCAGCTGCCCCCAG